GTAATGAATAACTTTCTTTTTAGTTTTAAATTTTACTACAACATAGTCATTATTTTTTAATGCAGAACAGTCGTAGTCCAGACTTGGGCCTTCTGCTGTCAACTGAGGATTGCTTGCATCACCATCACTGTCATCACTTTCTAGTGTTCCAAGATAATCAACGCTTGACATGGCTTTTGTTTTTTTTACTGTATCGGATGTTCGTTTTTTTTTATTCACACTTTTTTCTTTTGCAAGAAAAATTTCATGTTTAACTGGAGTGTCAGTTAAAATTCTTGTTTTTTGTTGCCTGTTCCGAAATAGCTTTTTTCTGGCTGAAGCCTTTGGAAATGGTTTCAACACTTCTGGTGATATTGGAAAGTGAATATTAGATTGAACCATGTTAACATCATCAGTCTGTAAAAAAATATTCTGTTTTCAAATAAAAATCGTATCTTGCAGTTTTGCTAAATTTAAGCATCAGACAAGAATTTTTAAAATATTTAAGAAATAGTAATTTTTTTTGACAAACTTGTGGATTTGAAGTCATTTGTTCTGGTTCTCCATCATCAGCTAGAACACATTATATTTATTGAATGCTGTTGCTCTTGCCAGACTAGTCGCTTCAGGTGCACGTAGTGACAACTCGGGTCTTCTTTTCATAAAACCCTGGAGCCAATCAATACCAGCAGTTTTTTTCATTGACCATGAAGATGGGCATGTTATATTATTCGCAACGGCCATATCATATGCGAACTGGCGAGTTGTTTTGGTGGATAGTCCATAGTTCATCTTAGATGCTTGCAGCAAATACTTTGCAAGCATCTCTTCTTGTTCTAAATTGAATACCTGCCTTGTATTCCAATTCGGTATCAAACCTACACTTGGACTGAGACTACTCTTCCGAACATATCGCTTCAATGTCATTCGGTCAATTCCAGTTTCACGTGCAACAGCATTGATAGCTCTGTTCTTTTTCAGAACTTCATCAACTGCTGTTCTCATCACTTCAACAGGTGTTTTACCTCGATTAGTTTTTCGCTCCCGATATCTCACCATTATGAAACCAAACCTGCAGAGTACACAAATTACATTTTACAATAATGGAAAAATAGCATTTTGCATGGTTAGAGAAAAATGACTAAACATCCTGGAGAATTATTATCTGAGGACAGTAGGGGCACTTTGATCTTCAGATCAACGTACCCCTTACTAGTACAGATCAAGGAGCCCCCATGGCATGGAGCACACTGTAATGGCGATATCTCATCAATAAGTTGTGATTGAAAATCGAAGTAAATAATAAAATAAGCCTCTGACATATCTTTACACATTGCAAAATTTAATTTATCAAACAAATATTTATCTGATTTTTAATTTACAAAACTAACCTGTTGTGAATAGTTGGTTTTTCCCTGTAAAATCAAACTTACGAATTTTTCGAACTTCAGCGGCAGAAAGTCCATAAACACATAGGATTAAAAGTAGAATAGAAACAAAAGGAAAACTAAAATAGTGATGGCCTACATTTATATTTAGAAATAGCTATGTTATTGCTTAAAGATCAATGTGCCCCAGAGATCAATGAGCCCCCATCTCCCCTACGTACGCTTCGGCAAACTTTGCAATTTTTAATTTTTTTCGGTATTTCAAAATTCGTTCGTTCATTTGGTTCATTTGTTTGGTTCATTCAGTTTGGTTCATTGATTAGTTGGTTGATTAGTCGATTGGTTGGTTGATTAGTTGATTGAATGAATGATTTATTGAACGGTTGGTTGGTTGGTTGCTTGATTGATTGTTTGATAAATGTTTGGATGGGTGGGCGGTTAGTTGAACATTCGAATTTATTGAATGTGTGTTCGGTTGATTTGATTGATTGATTGATTAATTGATTGGTTGATTGATTGGTTAATTAATTGATAGTACAGTATCAAACAATATCTCATAGTACTGTATGTATGCTAAATAGTGATTCCATAGTTCAATCCTAGTAAGCCAACCTATGAAGCCACCGGATTTCACTGGATAAAAGCAATTTTTATATTCAAATTAACAAAAATAATTTAATAATACAAAATTCAATTTAATAAAATTAAATAGAATCACTACATTGTTTTAAACATATTAAGTCAAGTAAATATTTCATATAGCTTGTTTGTAAAAACCCATGCAATTTCAAAGGTACGCTGACAAATCAGTATGTCAAAACGCGGCCATTTAGTAAACAAATACTTTCGAACTTTCAACAAAAGTTCGATTTTACTCTCAAGATGGTGGCGACGCTGACGTACCACAGTTGAAAGGTCGATTTTTATTTGTATTTCATTTTAAATTTTTATTTAAGATTTATTTTTATAGTTAAACAAAAAATTCTAAAAATTAATTAAACTATAAATTCTCCAGAAGCCCCAATTGAGGAATCGGAATTTGGAACCGGGTCTGTTCAGACAATGTTTGAAATTTTTATAGTACGATGAATCGTGGAAGTCGTCCTTCAAAGTGATCTGTGGAAATGCTTGTTCGTTTATGTGCCTGTAATTGTCTCTCATTTTTAAATGTGTGTGTGTGTGTGTGCGTGCGTGTGTGTGTGTGTGTGTGTGTAGGCTTTTTTGTATGTATGCAGCGTGTGTTTAAGTATTTTTTGTACGTATGTGTGCTTGAGTTTATGTCGGCGTATATGTATATTTTAATGTGTGTGTCTGTCTGTCTGTAGGTATGTGTGACCGTTTGTTTATGCGTGTGTGTATTTGTGTGGATGTATGTGTGTGTGTGTGTGTGTGTGTGTGCGTGTGCGTCTTGAATTGTCGTGTTGGTCTCCATTCACCTACTTGACCTTGAAACTCTAAAAAAGCAATTAAAGATAAATGTGGTAATACTTAACAAATGATGGAAATAATCATAGAATAAAATAATAATAACTACAATAAAATAATATATAATAATAATAATAATAATTAAACATTAAAATTCTTGTAAAGCGTTTTATTGATTTGGCATTGGAACAAGCACGAGACTACGATCGTAATAAATTACGCTGCCAGGCTAAGGCATTTCGTTGAAAGTTTAGTTAGTTAGGAGCGTGACATCTGTCTTGAACGACTCTTTAGCAAATTTTACTTGAAATTGTCTTTAACAAAACAAACAAATCAGATTTTATGAGGATCATGATCGTTTGATGGTTTACTACTTGAGCGTCTGTTCACCTGTTGCTGCTGTCTTCTCTTTCCATTCACTTGGTGCATACAAATATACTGGGATAAGTTTCAGTTCAATGTTACGCTTCTGCATTACATTCATATACAAAGTATGATTGTAATGTAACTGTCGTTGATTCTTTTTCTACAGTTATGAATTAATACAATTCTTAATCTCATTAATTCTGAAAATTTAAATTAGTTTTTTTATTCATGAACCTATGGTTAGTTTTTGACAATTTATCTGAAAGTTAGTTCATTTAATTTTAAAAGTGGTAGTTGTTTCGATTTTAAGATTTAAAAACTACAAGGATTTATAAAAAAAAAGGTTCATCATCTGCATGTGTTTTTATGTGTCACAAACAAATTTCTATCAAAAAATAAATTTTACAAACTTGAAAAACATTTGTCGTTAAGAGAAAAAAGAACAACTTGTGAAATTCTAAAGAGCAAAATTTTTATATCGATAAAGTAAAAAACTCTGACTGGGTGATAGTTTGAAATATATTTTTTCAGACCTAAAAAATAATAAATTTCCTTTTAACATTAAAATGTAGGTTTCAGATAAATGTCTTGTTTGTTTCAGTTAAAATTTTGCACGCTAAATACGACACAGAATTCAGTTGATATAAAATGGACTATCAACAAAAGACGCTCTTTTCTTGGATGTCTCCATTGGGTTTTTCTTCAAGTTCACCATATTCAAGCTTGCAGCATTTGGAGCATCCTGTTCAATCCTGATATCCTCCACTTTCGTTTTTTTCCTCTTTCGTTTGCATCCCTCCCAAATCCCAAAGAAGAACAAATCCATACCAAATTCTAAAAACTCACAAATGGTCAGGACTGACATTCCCAACCAAAGTCCCAAGATCCCACCACAGTCCGACAGGAACTGAGGTAACTAGAGAGATTTGGATAAAAGTTCGTTATTCATCATTTTGATATGTATGCGTGTGTTTGTGTACGTGTGTGCGCGTGTGTCTGTGTGTGTGCGCGTCCGCATGTGGCTCTAATTATGTTTCTTTAGCATTAATGAAATGATAAAATGAAAATATTTAAAAAAAAATTATTTCTGATGTATTTTTTGGTATTTTATTTCACTTCATATGATGGCTTCTCCTCAATGCGCTCATGGTTGAATTCCTCGTAGTACAGTTCCACCTTAGCTAAGTTCTCCTGGTAAGTGTCTGCAACGGAGTAATTCACCATATCTTGGAACTTCTCGAACAACATGTCCTTCCAAATGTTCGGAAACACCGATATACTAATCACATACATACACTTAGAACAGAGTAAAATTTTCTTCAATCAAAATTTGATTTTTAATGCAGATTAAATTGAAAATTAATTTACAAGATGTTTGAATACGTGGTTAACTTATCACCTTTTGAACGTTAGCTGGCCATGCACCAATTGATAAGGTGACAGTGTATGTTGTCTCTCTAGGATTATGGTAAGGGTTGGACAATTAAACAAACATTATTCAATAAAGAACATGATTTATCAGCGGAAATAATAATATATTTTCCTATTGTTTATGTTTATGATATGAAATCAATAAGAAATATAGCCATTTCACAAAAGTATTTGGTTTTAGTAAAATATTAATTCATTGTTATTGATAATTACTTTTACATTGCAGCGCGTTTGAACGATGTGTCAACTCGGATTTTAATATTACGATCAATAGATAAAGTTATGTTCCATGGGTTTGTTTATTATACGGAAAATAATATAAAAATTTAGACATCTCTGTCATGTTATTTCATCGATAAACTGAACAAAAAATAAATCTAACTTGCAAGGTTCATTGCAATCACAATTTATCGAATTGTTGTTGTACATTTCAGTTACATATTGCAAGCACTGCCCTAAAAAAAATTTTTATTTTTCTAACGCAAATTTTCATTAAAATCTACTCTTAAAATTATAATGCCACCACTAACACTGGTTTGCATCAATTTCGGAGCATGGAGGATAAGCAGTTAGAGAGTTATTTGCACTAATGGCAAGGCCCTTGAGGGGGTAGGCGGGATCGCCACACCCACACTCACTGATGACGTTTCGTTGGTAGCACGTTCTCATGCATCCCTGGTTAGAATAATTGTTATTTTAATCGTATTTTAGAATAAATTAGAAATAATTCTTTTTAGAAAAAAATATTTTTATTATTTTTAGTTTTGTTTGATTAAATTTAAAAAAAATTATCACCCCAGTGCTGTAAATGACTCCATCAAACAATTCACCATAAACGTTGTCCATCGGGTCTGAGTTGTCTGTGTCGTAGCAGTAGTTATAAGGAGGACTCTTTCGTTTCAAATTAATCTTTAGCAAGTGAATTTAAACAGATTATGAGTTGGTCGATTTTGTTAAGAAGATATTTATAGAAGCCAAATGACATTTTTATAAATCACCTGTTTCAAGCCTAAGGACGTAACTTGACCTGAATCGAATTGTAAATGTTAACGGGCAGAGATAAACTTGAATATTAGAAAATAACTTAATTACTTGACTATTGATAATTTATATATTTTTTAATATATAAATAATGATTATTTTTGCGTTTTTATTGCTTCATTAACAACAAAATAATATGCCTCTCTAACAAAATTCAACTGTTTGCTAAAATTTTATCAACGCCTATTTAATCTGTTTAACAGTGTATATTAGCTCACAAATTTCAAGCAAGCGTTTGGTGGTATTTATATTGCGTATCTTTAAATTATTCTTTAAAATTATGAAAAACCTGCATTGATAGCAAGACCTTCGTCCTCAGGAAAAGGAATGGTTTTATGTTGGTGGACCACCAATCGAATGCCAGATACTTCGTAAGTGTTGGAAACGTATTCGGGCTGGTTGATGTTCAGTACCATCTGCAAACCTGTGAAATTAATCAAAACCTTCAATTATTAATTTTTGTTTTTGCCAGAACTATTGTGGCAAATGTGCATTACATTCGGCCATCTTACCATGCCTTCTTCCGGTGTTCAACGACATTTTTGGGAGCCATTTTCTCCCCGCGTTGAAAGTATAACAATTGCCCAATGCATTGTTGAAAAAGTAGTCGAAATTTCTGTTGGTGGTTGGTTAGTTGTATTTATGAAACATGTGGTCAAAACTGGATCAATTATCAAAAGTTTTTGCCTCAATAAAATAATGGAACATGGCATGTTTTAATTGAAGATTTAATACAATACATACCAAAAATTTGCAACAGTTCTTGCGTGCGTGTACGTAAAGCTTTTAACTAGATTTGACAGACCGAATGATGATAGATAATAAATAATATATCAAATACTTGCAAGTTGCTTGTTACGGCAAACGTTTACCAGTACTGCAAAATTAGAGAGGTATGCACAGATAAATACGTATTTAATAAACAAACTACCCGTCTTCTAGACAGTTGTATCCTTCAAAAGTGCAATCAAGAACAAGTTCTCCAAGCTGGTGTCCCAACTTTTTTTTTGTTGAATCGTTCATGGAAGCCATGATTTCTAACAAACTTCTCTCTTCCAATGCCATTTTGACCAACGTTTTAGGTGCAGCAGTGGTCGGTGAAGTTGTGGATAGTGTTTCAGTTGAAGTTTTCAAACTGCTGGCTACAATTTCGAGTTATAAAAGTAGTGCTTTTAATATTTTTGATCATTAACTCAAATGACAAAAAACGTTCAATCAAAATGATTTTACTACTCTGAGCGGACGCCGATGTAGTAGCAGCAGGTGTTGATGTTGCCGTCGTCGATATTGTCGTCGTTGTACTTGTAGCTACTGAAGTAATTAGAGGCGTTTTTGTGGTAGCTGCACATTTGTTTTGGTCGTAGAGAAATAGATTTGTTTGGCATTTGCATTCATTTGTGACATCCTGGTTGCTGTAACTAACGTTGAAGCAACAACTGCAGCAACAGCCTGTTTCAGCAACTTGACTCGCCCAAGCATTGTAGGTTGTGTTATTTGTATCGGCTGTGCAACAAAAGTTCTTTATTTTTTTAACATCAATTTGAAAAATTTTAAATCTTTTAAAAATGGTCAATCAAAATTATTTTCATAAAAATAACTTGTTGATCTCTTTTTTCTTTTAAAACGAAATGATCCGTCAGCTGTTGAGACATTGTAGAGGTACTCCGTTAGACTAGACTTTTTGATGGGATTCATGTTGCAGATTGTCACTGACGGAAATGCAAGCTGATAATCTGTCTGGACCTTGAATTATTTCCAACGCAAAAACAACTTTGACGATTTTATAAAATATATTTAAAGGCTCGTTTAATAAAATCAAAATGATAATATCATTAAATCTTAAAATTCTATTAACTCTCTTTTAATCATCAGTTTTACCACTTGTTCAGATTTATGTTTCAATCAATCATACTTTTATGTGCATACTCTTTTTCAACAAGTATAATCTTTGTCATCAATAAAATAAAATTTGCAAAAACAGTTCTCATAAAAATTAAAACTATTTAAAAAATCATTTTTTTTTATATAAGAAACTAACCGTTATAACAATATCAACTCGAAACTGTACGTAGCTAGATACCTGCTCATACAACTGGAAGACGAGCCCTGCAATGGCCGCCAGTGTTATCAAGAACCAGCCTGCCCTCTTGATAACACCTTCAGTAAATTCAACATACACACAAATTTATCCTCATCTTCACAAGCACTGCGCGTTATTAAATGTGGCAAACTAAATTAATTTAGATAAATTTTGCAAACAATTTTTAACAATTTTGAGTTGTCAGTAGAAAAACTCTATTTTATCAATCAGAGAGTTAGTTTCAACGATATTTAAAAATAGATTTCAAACGCAAAGTACAACGAACGCCACAATGTGATTTATGTTCATCATATGAAATAACCTCTACTGCGATATATGTGTGGAAGTCCAGTGCACGTGGTGTGCTGGCTGATAGCTGTGCAGATGTCTCTGACCTGGATGTCTCGATCATCATGCAAACCATCTGGAGACATGAAATGGTAGAATCCACCGCACAAACCGCTGTTCCTATTACTCATTTTATTTCAATTTAAATGATTTGAAATAAATGACTAGGTGTTTAATTCTAAATTTGAAACTTATCTCTTGTAAAAAAAATTTTCTGCCATGTCAAAACAGTAATCCCTACTTAGTCTTCATAACGTCGTTGCTAACAACGTATCGATTGTATACCATGCTTACATATTGATTCACAATAACAAGTCGATTGGCCCAACGCAACGAATGCTATTGTCACGATTGAAAAAATTTGTCCTACTCATATTTTACAGTCGATGACATATTGATTGCGTACCAATTATAGCGAGAGTAGAGATATTATATTAGTCATACTTTTAATGTTTGATGGCATAAAACAACAAGTAAACTTGGTTATCACTAAAATCTCGACTCCGGAGTGTCTTTATTTTCAAAAAAGTTTTCACAAGTTATGAAGATAGATACAATCATAATGTTTTGAACAATAGATTTATCACATCATTACGGTTCAAAAAGTTGAGTTTATTGCGAGTTAGACGCCTGAATGATTAAAAAAACGCAAAATGTTGAAGATGCAGAAATTATGTAAGATTATTCGACACCAAAGATTGGCGACCTCGATTATTTCTAACTTTGTTTTGTATCTTCCAGGCTCACCTGTCTCCTTCCTTGTTTAGCACGTGTTATCTCACGGCTGACAAATGAAACTAGATTAAAACTGTCGAAACAGAAGAACGAGGAACGGTGAAGGGCATGTTTCAGTACGTAAGAATCATTAATAATCCTGATTTCAAGCAAACCATATTGGTGAAAATTGAATTACGTCACATCACATACCCAGGTCTAAATTATGAATGACAAAACAGGGAAACAAAGATATAGGCAAATATCTACTATAAATGAAAATGTATACAACAGTGTCACCAAAATGCACGTGCTTCGTCCCACGCGTATTTACATAAAGCAATTGAGATAACGGTTCATTCCACATCAGCTGAAAAGTTTGCATCAGCTTGTATTATTATATAAAGCAAAATACTTTGCCAACACTAAAAATTAAATTGTTCTACAGTTTTTATTCATCAAATAAAGTGACGGAAAAATTCTATTTAAACTTTAAAAACAGGACTGAAAATGTTAAGGAATAAGTGTCTGTGCATCGTTGAACTTTACAAAATCAAACAGTTTTAATGGAACTTTTAAATTAAATTTAATTGAGAATTAAATTAAATTTGATTAGGCTTTGCCGGCCTGCTGCCTTAGAAGGACATATATTTTTTCTTTGATCCAGGCTTTGTTGTGGGGCACATACTTTCCACTGGCTTTATCAAACCTGAAATCAAAAATATTAAATTGTGTAAAAAAAACATATACGTGAGAGATGAACCCTGGCAATAAAGATATCTCCCAAAACCTTCTACAAATGAAACTAAATTGTAGATCATCAATTAAGCAAAGAATCAAATAGAATGCATCAATGATTGAAATTTTGAGAATAAGAAATCTCTCGAACGTATTCTTGAAAATCTTGAAAAGACCAACTTACACTAAGCATGTTAGATCAGCCAGTTGGTCAATGAAATCAAAAAGCTGACTGATGTCGTATGTGATTGAAGGAGAATTTGGGTTCATCTTCTTCAAATACTCCTCAAATATCTTGCAAGTACCTGTTAATGGTGTTTTAATTTGATTTAGTTTGTATAATCAATCAATCAGTCAATCTTTGTTTAGCGATAGTTTATAACTTTATGAAAATAATTAATAAAAATTAGAAAATTTCTGTATTTGAGATTGAGAAAATTTAATTGAAAATGTAATTTTACACAGTTTCACTGTAATTCATATTAATCTAATTTTAGTACCATTCAACTTTAAATTAATATCCGTTGAGATATTTTTAAAAAAGAATAAGTTATAATCAATTAATTAAAATTTTTAGTTTAAAGGTATACAAGTAACTAACTAACATCCGGCATACATTCGGCTAAAAATAAAAAAATTACTATTACCTTCTAAACACTCGTTGACACTTTCATAATCAGAATAAGTCCTGCCTTCGGGTTTCTTGCTCGGCTGCACTAACAGGATAGTGTGAGACTGAAATTTGTGTAAAAAGTTGAACATAAAAATTTTCAGATAGTAAAAAAATTATTGATTAAAATGAAATAAGACAAGTTTGGCAAAACAGCTGCAACTACTTGGTTTCATGCTAATGCTGGCCTAACTCAACCTAATTGTCAAATCTAACGACCCTTGTTACAAGCAAAGCAGTGTTTGTTAAATAAATTGAGGTTACTACACTTTGATCTTAGCCAATAAGTCGAGAAAGAGAGCAAAGAATTAGTTAGAAGTTAGTTAGTCCCTAGACCTCATTAGAGAATTAAGAATAAGCAGTTAAAGTTACAATTTTAAGAATAGAAATTATTTAAAAAAATAAAAAAGATAATTTTCAAAAAATTAACCTAATCAAATCAAATCATTTCAAATGAATTCCAAATGAATTTTATTTTATAATAATAATACGTTTACAAAAATAACAATTTGGCTTTTAGCATTTTTAAACAAGCCAAATTTATCATAAAATTTGATGGTCTTAGAGTTTCGGATAGATAGCAGTATTAGTATTCAAATCATACCATCTCGTAATTATTAGCAGGGCGAGACATAGCACTCATATCGACTGCAAACTTGGTGACCAATTTTATTTTATAATTTCTAATCTAATAAGAATAATATTGAATATGATTATCTATCCATTCATCTATATCCTCACGTTAATAGTTTTTCATATTCATATGCATTTGACGATGACCATATAAAATATCGTGTGTCACTACGACTACGCAATCCAAACCGAAACCGGTCGGATGATTAGGTGTTAGGAAGATTCCCCGAGCAATCCGTACACAAATTAAAATGAAATGAAATAGAAAGAAATTATTAAAAATTCAATATACGAATATATAAAGTTAAAATACCATTTTTTAGCGGAAACCGTTTCACTCGAAGACAAATAAAATCAGAAACTTATAACTTCGCTCAAATCAAATGCGAATACTGAACGATACGACTAATGACCAATAGACTGGCTGCCTACCGTTTATATTTATATACACAACGCCGTTTTACAACAGGGCCTAAAAGATAATAAAATGAAACAACGAATACAAATATAGAATGGTATAAATATAAAATTATAGAATGGTATGTATTTTAATATATGATAATGAATAATGGGGCTTGTTCGTTCACTGCTCTTCGCCCGAACTACTTTTTTCAAAAAACCTCTTGGAATCAGCATATAAATTTAATTTGCTATCTAAACAATAACTAAGGTTAATCAAAATATTATTATTAATTTTACAGTGCTGGTTATTAAGTTTTAATTTATTCAAAACGAAAATACAAGAGAGTTAGGAGCGAAATTCTTTTTAGCCATAGGGTTGTATTAAGAGCTTCTAAAAGAGATTCAGAATTATAAGGCCTGCTGCCTTTTATATGTTGCTCTAGTTACTAAATGATTCGTCTGAGTTATTATGCAAATGGTTCGATGCCTTCTCGTAAAGGTGCACGTCATTCGGGTGGTTTCTTGAATTAGGTATGGTGTACATGCCCAAATTGCCGTCGGTGTTTGAAGAGCCGTGGTTCATTATTTGGTTCCTGTCATTATTATTTGCTCTGTCGTTTTTACGAGCGTCTTTATCTGAAATGTAATTTTATTCCATTAAGTACCTTGTCATGAATACAGATGATGTTTTTGGTTAATTTTTAAACAAAAAATCTTACATTAGAACAAAACGACAGTTATGATGATGAGTGTGAGAAGCAGTCCAAGGACAGAAGCCAGAACTATTGTAGAAATCATAAAACCTTTTTCAGCTTGATCATGTAAAGTAAACATTAATTAATTTGTTTTTGCCAATACGTTGATTATTAATTTTTGATTATAAATTTCATGAGAGAGTAAGTAGCATGTAATAGCCGTTGGAAGGCATGTGGTTGGTGGCACCCAAGTTGGAACTAAACGCTAGGGATGTGATTTGAGAGTTTTTAAAAATTAATCACAAAAAAGCCAAGTACAACCATAGCAGCAGAATGCTGAAGCTGATGGTTTAAAACCATTTTTGCATTGGCAGTGGTAGGCTCCAATTGTGTTCATGCACGCTGTCGATTCCAAATCACAGTAATGCTTATTCGTCTGGCATTCGTCAATTCAGTGCCAAATTCTTGAAAAGTGAAAAGCCTGTGAATTTGTGAGCGGAGTATAACATATAGAATAAAATTTGTACCGTTAAACTTACTTGTAATGGAAAATTTTCCAGATTCTAAGGAAACCTAAACACAAAGCATAATATCTTGCTCAAACTAAGTTGAGCTTGTCTAGTTATTATTTTGTGGTACATGATAAATATTGTAGTTTGTGTTCATTCTACTTTGAATCAGGTTATCGTCGAGTAGGTAAGAAGGCTTCCTTTCATTGCTCTGAATATTGTTTCATAAAGAACGCTCATTTTATTCAGATGGCGTGCATATTTCTGCTTGTTGTAAATGTAGGAACTGCTTTGTTAAACGTTTTATTTTAAAATAAAAAGTCATTTGTGTTGAGATTAATAATTTTATTGAATTTCTTTTTAAAATGTAGTGGAGAATATCAGTCATCAAACTTGTAATCAAACTTACAATTTATGTTAAGTCATGCCACTGTAGTTTTTATAGTGTTGAAATCGATCAACAGAGTATTTCATTTTCTGTAACTCATTTGTCATTGTAAAATTAGCAGCAATAAATTATTAAATTATTTTCAATTATAAAAGATTTTTTATTAATTATAATAGATTTTGTTCACACGGCATAACAAATCAGTCACGCTTCAATTTTACGAACTAGCGAAATCCCAGCAAAACAAACTTCTTTAAATGAACTACTCGATGTAGATAATACAAAAACGAAATGTTGGAATGTTAATTAACACTAAAAAAAGAAGACGGACTTTTATGATATATTTTGATCAGTAGAAAATGTTGAACAAGCGTTGTGATAATTTTTCACTCCACTCCGGTTCAGATCATGCAGTATTTTTTCACGGCTGGCTAAATTTTACCCATACTAAACTTATTAAATTAATAATTCTGTGAAACAAATTCAGAATAAAAAAAACTAATTTTCACAAATTTCGTAGTTTATTTTTACTGTTAATAATGAAGGCAATGAAGAAAAACCACAACTACATGGGTTAGAACGAAGTAGTTATTGGGAGACACCGTTAACATCAATCAGTGGGTGGTGTGTGGGTGTGTGGGTGTCTCAGTTAGTGTTTAAAATTTTGTTGTTCCTTTTTTCCATTGAAGTATTCGAATGTACATCATTGCATTACAATAATTCAATAAAAATTCTTCCCTAAAAGTGATTTTACGTTTATAATTTATTTTTTCTTACAAGCAAATAAGCTTAAAGGTCTTTGGTCAATGGAACAGCATTTAAAAATTTTATTTTGAAACCAACCGCTACAACTTATTATAAAAATTTACCTTGTTAACTCGGAAAAAAGGGGAAATGATTAAAAGTCTTAATTTACTTAATTTAAATTTCCAAAAATTAATTCACTTAAAACAGTCTAAAATGCAAGAAGTTTTCGATATTGAAACACCATAAGTTTTTTTCTAGATTACTAGGTGTTGGTAACCATCATTTTCATGGTCGCGGTTGCTGTTGCTTGCACCAGGGAATGCGTGCATCTCGTGGTTGTTGTTTCTCATCGGTTGGCCCTTGTTATCATATCTTTCCATGGAGTTCGATTGTTTACCTAAGAAAGGTTTTAGTTAAGTAATTTTTTTTATTCATTCAATATATTAAAATGATAATGAATGAATCAGTGGTGAATAGCCGACTGTTATAATGCTATATTTAATAAAACTTCGTTCGGCTGAATATATAATTTTGAAATCATACATAATCTAACATTTGAATATGAGAACGCTAATTATGAATATTAGAAGAGTGAGTCCAAGTAGAGATGCGAAAACTATTGTACATATTTGGTAGGTTCGATCACCTTGAAAATGATAAAGTTATATTTTCAATTATAGTTTGTTATACAGTAATTCAATACAAAAACGTAAAAACTATTGGAACTTTGTTGAATGATTGAACTCGAATTCATCAGCTGGCTGTTTTGTAAACCGGTTGCTAATGTTATTTTTGAAAAAAATATTAATATTAATTGAGAATTAAATTAATTTTTGATATTTGAAAGATTTATTCATCTTACCGTGGCAGTAAAAACGTGAATTTGTGGCTTGGAATCCCTCCTTACATCGGCATTGATACGATCCTATCGTGTTAATGCAGTATGTCGAGTCCAACGAACATTTGTGTGTACTTATAAGGCATTCATCAACTTCTTCAAAAATGAAAAAAAAAATTCCATTTGATTTCAAAATAAAAAAGTTATTGTTGTTATGGCAAGGGCCGGATTTGGAGAAACTGAAGATCTTGAGGCAGAAAACAAGCGGGAGTCTCTAAATATTTTTAGAAACAAAGGTTAAAAGCTAATTTTTCATGGTTTTATCTCAGTAAATAATATAACAATTTTTTCAAGTCAATGGTCCTAATTATGACGACCAACATTCATTAAGTTTTTTATATTTCGTACAACGATTAAGCCAGAAAAATAGAGAGATTTTACTCCGACGTCGACTGCAAACTATTTTGAAGTATGTTTTTGTAAACCGTGTACACTACTATTACCTTTGCAATCTTCGTTGTAAGACATTCTGTCGTAGCCAGACCTGCATTCACATTCAGCCACGTAGTACCTGGTATCAGAGTAGGCTATGCACATGTCATCGGCACAGTGTCCATTGCTGGATTCGCACACTTGGGATTCAATGAATTGAATGTTTGTCTAATTTCAAATGAAGTTAAGTTCTTATTTATTGCAATTTTTGTAAGCTGTTCAAATTCTGTTCAATAATAGAATGAACCTAATTTTTGAAAGAAATTAAAAATTGTGAATGGAAGTTCAAATGTTCAAAAGTTCAAAGATCAAATGGAATTAATTTGAGAAAATAATTTTCTAAAACTCAACATCTGTGATTGCAGAATGGACCATCCCAACCCAGTTCACAACTTTCACATCTGTCATAAGAATTAAGTGGTAGGCCACCTAAGCAGTGGGTCTTGCAATCGTCGTAACTATTTTCCTTAGTGTCGGATGGAATGCATTGGTTAACTGGAATGTTAAAATAATTGAAAATTTTAATTATACATTTAAAAAATGTTTTTAATGGAATTTAAAGAGCAAACCTGTTAAGTTTTTATTTTTATTGTTTTATTTATATATTTTAAGCTACAAAGTTTGATTCAAAATGTTTGAAGCGAAACCTCTGAAAACTTGAAATCTTTCAGCACTTGGGCAGGACATTAATCTTTCCTCAGGCACACACGATTGTTCGCAAAGGAACGATATTGAGATAGCTGAGGTTATCACATTGGAACAGTGACAAACCTTTTTCTTGTTCAATAAATTATTTTTGAAACATTTCAATTTTAATTGCTCACCAAAATATACGCCATTTTTTAGTTAAATAAAGATTGCATATATTTTGAAGTAAATTAACTCTTTTATTGATCAACAAATAGAATTTGTTTGAAAATCAGAAATTAACGATAAAGAGAAATGTAATATATTTTGGCACATAATCGGCACGTAATCTTACCTTGAAGGCAAGATACTTGTATCCCCGCTGTTGACAAACGTTGAAACATTGGAAAGGCGTGTAGACCTGCACCGTTGGGATGGATTCGTTGAATCCGACGTAACAACCGATGAAATAATCTACAAAGTCCTCTGCATGTCAAGATTTTGTCGGCAATCATTGTTATATATTATTATATTATATGTCATAACCTGCCGAATGATTTTTTGATGTCAAAATTAAAATTTTTTTTATATAGACTAATACGTACCGTATCCAAATATTTGGAATTCACGAACTCCAAGACCAAAGTTACCGTCAGCTTGGTGTAAAATCACATACCGATGATTATTGCTTTTGCTGCAGTTTAAAAAGGCCAGTGAATTTGGAAAGACTAACCCACTATAAACACCACATTTTGTTGATTTGGTTATTGTAACGTTCATTATTGGATCAAAACTATTTGACAGCCAAACTTCAAATCTTGCCATTTGGCTCCCTTATAATAAAACAGGATACAATAGTAACGAGTAAATTTAAATTTAAATTAAATATCAACAAACAGCAGCAATTAATTCCCATCTGGACGGATACGTTGATGACATTGAATCTCAGTCCTAAATCGACAACAAGCCAACCAGGCTCGCCATTTGATTGCGTTCCGGCTATGTTCGAATCGTCATCAGTGATTCCATCGGTTGCATAAGAAGCTGGATAACTTGGGTGTTCACGACTCAAATAAGCATTTTTTTTCAGAGCCAAATTTGTGAAAAGAACTGAAACTGTAAAAACAATTTGTACGATTAATATATTTGCAGTAATCATATCATGGTCAACTTAAAATAAAACTTTGTTTAAAACCTGACATAGGAATGTTATTCAAAATTACAAGGAACAAAACAAAATGGCTCAAAACTATTAAGTTCATATTTGATAATAAAATACACAAATAGAATTTTATATGCGAGGGCACAAATTCGTAACTTTAACTGACTGCCTATGATAAATGTTATATATGTTAAATATTGAACTTGTTGAAACGGTGTTACGCTGATAGTTCCAATGAACAGCTAATAATTGTTCATGAATGTTTGAATAGAATTTAAAACGCATATGAAATAATTTCAACATTAAAGCAACACGGAAGATTATTTTTATCTTTAATGTGAAGCTAACGATGTAATTGTTTTAACGTTCAAAGAAACACACCTTTCAATATTATCACATTTTTATATAAAAATTTGATAAGATAAACTTAAGAATCACCGCAAATATAAGCCGGCTTTTGTTTTTATTTGTTCGTTTACGTCAATTTTCATTATTATCATAATCAAAGACATCATAATCTTTTAGATTACTCACTTCTCACCAAATCACCATCAGTTTCATCAGCCGTGGTTTCAAATTACACAGTCATCAGTCTCACGTCAACAATTCAAACTTGGCTTCTAGTACATTTTCAATTTTTGTTAAACCTTTAACTACTTCGATATCATCCTTTTTCAATTTCATCAATTTTATCTATAATCCTCTCTGTTTAGTGATCGTGTTGCACTGGTTAAATTTATTCAAATTTAGGTTTTTTATCCTTCTATTATCATAATGAACATCATAAAGACACTCAATTCAGTGAGTTGGACCTGGGTCGAGTTATGATATGCCAATGTGATCAGGTCCTAAAAACTCCAAACTATGACAACATGGCAATTAATGTGGTCTATACATTGCCTAAAAATCTGCTTCAATCATTTCGATCGAGCACGCGATAACACAACCTCTGTTTCCGTAAAATGCCAAAGTGTAATTTTTTTTAAAAAAGTTGATTCAAAAAAAGTTCATGCCATTTTATTATTATTGAATTATCACAAGCACCAGTTTAAAATTGATTAGATTAGTAGCATATTAGTTTGTCAGTCCTTACATTTGTAATTTATTCCATTTGTGAAACTTCAATCTATAATCCTAATTCAAATTATCATAGTAAGGTAAATTCAAGCAGGTAAAGAATAAAAATGTACATATATGTAAAGATAGGTTTTAAAATTAAGACTGTGTATTAAATGGGACGAAATAGTTGTTGGCAGGCATGCTAATTATGGACGTCATTAAACATCATGAACTCAACACAAAAAATACTATTCAAAAACACCGGGCAAGAACTGTTGGAATATTATCTGTTCGAAACTGAAAGACTATCACACACAATGATAGTATGGTGTGGTGCTTGCGCGTTCATAAATAATGTGTATGTGCGTCGTGTGTTGTGTGGATAGTACATCCTTTGTGGCACGAAAATATAATAATAAGTTTAGAACGACATGTAAGCCAATGCCAATGGCAAAACTGCATTATATTAAAAAGAACAAAGAAAAAAATCAAACTAATCATAGCAGCGAAGAATTTTTAAAAATATATGAAACATTAGAGTATTTATTATAGAGAGTATTACATGGAACAAACTTTGGTTACAACCTGAAAATTACAAATTATTTTTTGTCTCATTTAAATGACATTAGTTTATTTTTCAAGCCAAAATAGAGAAACGCTGTAGCAGAGCAAAAATAACTCTATGAAAGAAACGTCTAGGAAACATCATTAGAAGCAAAATTATTATAAACTCCATTCTGATTTTCCAGAGACTCGTAAGGATAGAAATCATTCAAGGTCCTGTCGTAAATGTGGCTGTCGCTGGCTTCTGCGACGCTCGGTAGAGGGAGAGTGTAAGCACCGTAACTATCGGCAGCGTTGTTTGTTCCGTTATTCATTGCTTGTTTGGTCTTTTTAATTTTAGGAGTGCGCGCTTTTTTAACTGTAAATAGTTTTAATCACATTTTAATTAAAATTTCAATTTAATTTTTTTGCTCGTTACACTTTTTAATTCAAAATATTAATTACTAAGTAGTCTAACGTATAAAGACAATTGCTCCAACGATGAAAAGTAGGATTGCCAATCCAAAGACAGAGGCCAGCACTATGGTGGAGATCTTTAAAACTTGATTACCTTAAAACATTACCAAAACAAAATCAATTTGACTTTTCGAAAGATTAACGTTAATACTTGATTGGTTGTTCGAGCTCGAGGCCAATAGCAAGCTACTATTATTTGGACTGATTGCTAGAATAAAACAAATTTTGGATTTGTTTCAGAATTTGTTTAATTTAAATTTTATCAAAATTACCGTCGCAATAAAATGATGAACTTGTAGGCAGGAAACCATCTTTGCACTGGCATTGAAATGATCCAATGGTGTTGACGCAGACTGTTGAGTCGAGTGAACAGCTGTGAGTATCAGCTTTGCATTCATCAATGTCTGAAAAATTCGTCAATGTTTATAATTTGGTGCTATATATATATATATATATCTATATATATATTATTGATGGAAATCACAGCAATTTCGGCGTTAGTTAACTTCCTATTTAACTTTTCAATTTTTCTAACGGTTGATCGTAAATCATTTTCAAGTATCTTGAGTTCAAATCGAAAATTTTTGTTTATTTTATGCATGATAGAACAAAAAAGCTTTTTTTGGTAAATATATATATATATATATATATATATATATATTTTGGAACGAGGTTTTCTTTGATGCAAATATCGTTAAATATTTTTGCCCATTTTGCATTAATAAAATTGAAAAAGAGTCCATTCTCAGTCAACAATATAAATTAATTATATACAAAATGGGCAAAAATATTTAACGATATATATATATATATATATATATATATACATATACATATATATATATATATATATATATATATACTGTGCATCTGGGCACATAAACAACGTATCAATTTGAACACCGAAGATGGTATACGAATACCGAAAAAAGCTTTTCTGTTACATCATGCATAAAAAAATAAACAAAAATTTTGGTTTTCAACTAAAGAAACTTGAAAATGAGTTAAGATCAATCGTTAGAAAAGTCGACAAGTTGAATTGAAAGTTAACTAACGCCGAACATGCTGTGATTTTCATCAATGGAAAATATATATTTATATATATATATATCTTTATATATACGTGCTTATATATAGCGTATGTAATTATATTCATTGTTTATTATAATATTGCGTGTATGTTGATTAGTTTAAAAAGAGACTATAAAATTTCCAAAAATGTGTCATACCTTTGCAGTTTTCGTTATAAGACAGTATTTTGAAGCCCTCTCGGCAGTAGCATTCAGCCGTGTAGAACCAAGCATTAACCGAACCTATGCACAGTTGGTCAGCACACTGTCCATTTTGTACGTGACATACTTTTTGATAATTCATAAAACTTGTATGTTATTTCAATTGCGACGAAGTGTTTTGCTTATCATGTTATTTTATCACAAAAATCGTCATAATCAAGAGTACTGACATATAAATATATTTCTTATCGACCAGAAGCTGAAACGTTTTTATCATTGAAATGAGATGCGTTTAACAAAACTAATCAGATCTAATAGTTTAAATTAAACTGTCTCCGAATTAACTTGTTCACTCGCCCTGTTTTTAGGTTTGTACAGTTGACAAGCAAAATGTAAATTACAAGTGTATGTAACAGAGTGTCGGGTTCGGATGAAAAATATCCGACTCCAATCTGGCCCCTCAAAAAAATTCGACTCCCGACACTCTGCAAGTAACATTACATACATATTTTTACATGACAGCATCTAAATTGTTCCAAACAGTTTTATAATCTAACAGACAGTTTTTTTTATATCTATCAGAAGTAAGCCATTAAAATATGTGAATCGTCTCATAAACAATTAAAAAAGAACAATATAGTTTCTATTTAAATTTCCATTATGTTGTGATTAAAATTTAAAGCAAAAAATTTTTAAAACATGATAAATTTTAATGAACTTCAAAGCATGTCACAAATCTAACATCTGCGGTTACAAAATGGTCCATCCCAGCCATTTTCACAATTATCATACACACCGTAAGAGTTGAGCGACATGTTGAACAGAGAGTGAGTACGGCATACGTCAAAACTATTTTCTGAAGTACTTGATAGGATACATTGATCGACTGAATAAAACATTTGATGATAATGTGACAACTAATTGAAATGCAAAGTGTAACATCCATTTCAAACTGTTCCTTTAAGCACATTGAAACCATATTTGATAGAAATAGCCACCTTGCCAATATCGTTATCGTTGTTGCTTAACTACACGCACACTGTTTTAGTGATATCTAAAAAATGCGCTTTTTCTAATTAACATACATTTGTGGTGGTCTAATAGCTTCCACCAAATGCAGCAATACTTTTGTTAACCAAAATGTCTACGTTGAATTAACATGTCTCAACTTTATGAACTTCTGGTGCAGGCTGCAGAAGTATGCATTACACGTTGGCTTCTAAAATTCAGAGTCGCATTTTTTCCACGTCAAGAGAAAAAAGTTAAAACAAAATGGGAAAGTAATTGAATATCAAATAAACCTCTGAATACATCGAATCTGTCGACATTCAGGCATTGAACCAAAAAGTCTTTGGAATAACATGATTGTGCGCAGAAAAGT